TCTTTTTAACAACTTATATAAATAACCTAAAAAAAAAAAAAGCAAGGCCTCACCTAAACAACAAAAAAAAAAAAAAAAAAAAAAAATGAAAAATAATGTGATTCATTTTCTAAATCTAAAAATGTTCAAGTCATTCTTTAATAATTATAAGTTATAGAAAAGTGCTGTTCTGATCATTATATTGAAATTTAATTTGCCAATAAAATCTAACGTAATTTATATATATAGTTGATTGCACATCTCAGTAAACTATGATCTGAAAACTATAACAGACATTGTGGCAAATTTATGAAGTATCTAAAATCGATTATATGTTTTCACAATTGAGTCTACATGTAGTATGGAGTATAGTTTACTTGTCGATCATGTGCAGTTCTATTATACCCATGACATGTCTTGTGCTATGTATATACATATGTATGACAAAAGTTATTATTACGTACGTACGTACGTACATATCATTATTAAAATCATATGATGTATGATGGATAAAGCAAGGGTGTAGTACAAATTTCACTATTGTTATTGAAATGGAATACAACATAAATGAAAAAGATGCAAAAAAAATACAACTTTTAGTTCTTTTTTGCTTTTTAATTTCAATCAGTTTTTTAGCACCCAAAGTTTTCGAATCATAGCATAGTTAGAGTGTTTAAGTAACTTATTATCCATTTTTATTTTATTTTTTTTTAAAAAAAAAATTTAAATTATTAAGCATGAATATGATTAATAATTTTTTGATTAAAATTTGTAATGAGAATATATATATAAGCATCATATATAATAAATAAATATTTTTTACTTTTTAATTGTTTTATTTATTATTTTTTTGTTAAAGACGAAAAATAAGTAAATATTTAAATTATTTGCCTTAATTATTTTATAATATATATTTTATTAAAATGTTTTTTTAAATCGAATTTTAAAGAATTGATATGATTATTGAAATACAATCCGATGATGATAATTCAAACCTTAAAGAGAAATTTGATAAAGCTTCAGTAATCAATTTAGTATCAGATACTGAAAGTTTGAAAGAAGATAATTCTGAAGTTAGTAAATTTATATAATAAGCAATAGTTAATTTATCGCTTAAATTTCATTATTGAATTTATAAAATTTTTATATTTAGAATGAAATTAGAGATACTAAAGATGTTAATTATAATGAAATCAGGGATGTTAATTATAATGAAATTGAAGATCCTAATTATAGAAATATCGAAGATATCAATTATAATGATATTGAAGATATTGACTATAATGATATTGAAGATATTAACTATAATAATATTAAAGATGTCGATTATAATGATATTGAAGGTGCTGAATATAGTGATATTGAAGATACCAGTAATAATGAAATCAATGAAATTCATTCAATAACAGAAAACTTAAAAGTAAAAGAAATTCGGCATACAATTTTTCCTATAGAATATCTACCTACATCTCCTGAAGGTATTGCTATTTGTTATAATATAGAAAATTGGGAATTATATGAGGCTGCATTTGAAAATGTAAGCAATTTATTTAATTTATTATAGAATTAAATTTTATATTTTATATTAACATTTATTTTAAGATGCAATATATGACTGAAAAACCAATGGGTGATGGAAAAAAGCCAATTTGGAGTCTATATTTGAACTGTAGTGTAAAAAAATATTACAAAACATGTACTAGTGTAAAATATTGTATGTTCTTAGAAAATTTAATTAAAAATTCAAGTCATACTAAAGTTAATATGAGCAAAGATCTTATTCAAGAAAATGATGAAAGCTCACTTTTGCAAAAAACTAAAGAAGCCAAAACATATACGTAAGTTAATATAATTTAAATAATAAATCTAATATATTTAATTAATTTAATTATTTATTTGAGCAAAGATCTTATTCAAGAAAATGATGAAAGCTCACTTTTGCAAAAAACTAAAAAAGCCAAAACATATACGTAAGTTAATATAATTTAAATAATAAATCTAATATATTTAATTAATTTAATTATTTATTAACTATTAATAGGAAATTTCTTGCAATAAAAGAAATTAAATGTCCTTATAATGAACAAAAATGTTGTGGTAATTTTGTAGTACAAAAACGATCAAAAAATACTACAAATACACCTGATGAATAGTTTATTGGCTGTAGTCGCTAGTGGGAAAAAGGAAAAGAAAAACATTTTTTTAACCATTAAAAAAAGAGATTCAATTTTACTTAATAAATTGTTTAAAAATGAACCGGTATTATAAATTTATATTTTTTAGTTTTATTAATTTATATTTTATTTATTATTAATTAATAAAATTTTTTTAGATTAATTTATTAAATAATACAACTTCTTGTGATCACATAATACCAAATACGGTAAATATTTTGTATATTACTATATATTTAAATATTAAATAAAAATTTATTAATTTTATTTAAATATTCAGGTTTTTTATACAAAAATCTAAATAATATAGAAGAAGGAAAAATTATTAAAAAAGATTGTGATGTTATGTTTTATAAGCTTATTCCTTGTGATTTAAAAAAAACACCATATGTTATATTGGTTTGTAAAGGTATTCACAAGCATCTGCCACCACCACCTGCCTGAAAGAGTTCCAAAAGAAATTATACACAAATTAAAAGCTATGATTGAAACAGCAAATAATGATTTAATAGATATTTCTCCAAGAAAGTTAATATCTAGTAAGTAATATTTAAATATAATAATATATATTTAATAATTAAATTAAATTAATTAATAATATTTATATATATATTATAGGTAATCTTATTAAAGCTACTTTTGGAACTAATTACCTTTCAGAAGTTCATGCATCTCTTAATAATTTAAATAAATTAAGGCATTTAGTTTCTAAAGTTCAAAAAGAACATAATCCTTATGAACAAAGTATTCTTGGTTTAACTTATAATATATGGAAAGAAAAAAAAGAATATGATGATTATCTTCAACAAGCAGATAAATAAACTATAATATTTATTTTAAATTTTAATATAATTATAATAACAAATTAAATTTTTATATAGGAGTATTTGCTGATGGACAAATTATGGTGATTTGTATTTCTAAATTACAAGCTGAAACTTGGAAATCACTTGAATATTTTGAAATCAATGTAGCATTTAAACGGGTTCAAGGAAACATTAATGAACTAGAAGTAAATTCTTATAATGAATGTTATAAAATTGGTAAAAATATTATGTATTTATATATTTTTTATATTAAATTTTATTATTTTTAATTTATAATTTATTAATTATTTAGCATTAACATATGCACGTATATTTACAAATATTACAAATTTTAAAACATATGAGCGAATGTTTACTGCATTATTTGATTGGATTTATCAATTAACTAATTCTTATCTAAAACTTTTTCATATTGATGGAGTTGAATGGAAATGTATTCTTGGAGATTTAGATCAAGCCCAGGCTAAAAGTTTAGAGCTTGCACTTAATAAACTTTATCCAAATCTTACCTGGGAAGAACATTTACTTCATATCTTTAAAAGTTGTAGAGTTCACTATAATAGATAAATAAATTTATCAAAATTATTTAACTAAAATTTTAATTATATTAATTTTTAAATTTGTATTATTTTTTTAGAAATATTAAAAATAATATATATTCAGATTATATTAAAAAATTAATGTATAAATATCCAAATGCAGATACAATTGAAAGAGTTGAAGAAATTATTCAAATTTTAAAAAAATCTAATGAACTAAATATTAATGGTTAATATTTTTTTTTTTTTTTTTTTTATATTGCCAATGTAGAAACTTTATTTTTATTTAAAGGCTTCTCTCTAACATATATACAGTTTCTAATTACATTTGTGCTACTATTACTAGTTACCCAATGTGGCATTATACTCCTTAA